CCTACCCGGTTCGCGGCCGCCACACCGCGCCCCGGACTCGCCTGAACACCGGCCGCCGCTCCGACGTCGAGCGCACGTCCGGCCACCGCCACGCGCCGGTCGGCGTGGACACCGGCTTCCCTGAGCCCCGACCTCCGCGGCCGAGGTTTCTAGTCCGGCAACCGAGCCCGTGCTCGGCCGCCGCGCGACGCGCCCGGACCGGGAGGCCGGGCGTGCCTGCGGCCGAGCCCGTGCTCGGCCGCTGTGACACGCCCGACCGGAGAGGTCGTGGCTCGCAACTCCGCGGCCGAGCCCGTGCTCGGCCGTCAGGACACGCCCGACCGGGAGAGGTCGTGGCTTGCGCGCGCGGCCGAGCCCGTGCTCGGCCGCCTAACGAGGACCGCTCTCGTTTGTCGGCGGCACACCGGATCTTCTGCTCTAGGCCCGGATGCAACTAAGACTCTGCCAATGAGGGGAGAGGCACCAGAACGCAGCATGCTCGACGGAAAACAACACGCGGATCTCGTTTCGGCAAAGCATCAAACAGCCGGAGTGCGTAGCAAAAACCAGAAATTCCCGACTCGATCGACACTCAAATGTGTCCGGGATTCACACAGAAAGGAGCATAAACAAGCAGGATCAGGCACGTGGTATCACGGGCCGGAACTCGCGCGAGCCGGACGGCCGCGAGCTCCGGCCAGTGAACCCAAAAAAACAGAGGACGCCGACCAGCAGACCAAAAAAAACAGGGGAAGGAGGGGTGGCTGTTGTGGCGTTCCCTATCCGGCCCGGGGGCGGTGAACGGGGTTGACTGTAGATCGGACTTCGTCCGGTCGTCCCGCACGCCTCCGAGCCGGAATCCTCGGGAAATCGACCCCGAGTTAAACCGAACGAAAAACCTACGAGAACTCGGGCCGGAACCTACCGTGACAGAGGATCGTCGGCCGCGGCTAGGGCACGGCGGTCGCCGGCGGGTGACCGACGCCTCTCTCCCTCTCCGGTCTCTCGATTCTCTCTCTCTCTTCTCTCTCCCTCCGATTTCTGTTCTCCCCCTTTCCGCCTCTCTCTCTCGGCTTTAAGGGCGACCGGGGCGCGGAGCCGGCCGGCAGGCGCGCATGGCCCCTGCCACCGCCAGCCCGCACTGCTGGCCTGGCCCCGACCCGCGGATCACGCCGGTGATCGCCTGGACTCCCCCTCCCGCGCCCCTGCTCTGCCTCTGCTTCTCTGTCCTGTTCCTCCCCCGTACCTCTGAAACGTTGACTGGGGAGGGGGAGAATGAACAGACGCGGGCCGGGCCGAAGGAAAGAGGGCCGGCCCGCGTGGGAAAATGAAACAGGAGGAAAAGATAAAAAAGGGCCGCGTAAAAAAGACGAGGAAGAATGGGCCGACTGCAATTTTTTTTTTTTATATGTCCTAATAGACCATATTAATGCAAATGCGCCTAATGTCTATATGCCATGCAATTTAATGAAAATTTTTTGTTTAGTGGTTTAAAAATTAAACCCTAAAATTTTTTTATAGGATAAAACCCTGAATAATTTAAGCAAAATTTAGGTGTCAACACAGGGAAATCTTGCTCTTAATTTATTTTGTTGTGAAGATGGATGGATGTATTGACGAAAATGGTTGCAGTTTTAAATTCAGTCATGTTTGATCTTCAGCATGACCCTGTAGTTTTATGATCTGACAAGTCTCTTATAACATATACTTTATTCAAGACTGGTTTCTGGCATCCAAGTTTGACACCCAAACCAGATTTAATCCTAAGTGTCATACTGTTAAGTATATAAAGCCGATGGATGCTAGATCACTTGTGGTTGTGCTAACCAACAACTGCCTTGTGTTGTGAGCTATTAGATACCATGCTGCAGGTTCCGGTGCCCCTGCATCAGCCCCTCAGGTTCAAAGACCTACCAATCTGCAATTTCGGAAGCTCAGACTATTTCTTGGAGGTGGTAGCCTTGGCGCTTAATATCAAATCGTCTTCTGCCATTATATTCAACACGATTCACTGCCTGGAAGAGTCACCTCTGGCCCAGCTCCACCACCAATACCACGTTTCGATTTTTCCAGTAGGCCCTCTACACAAATTTGCTCCTACCTCAGCTGTTAGCTTACTGCAAGAGGATGCTGGTTGCATTCCATGGCTTGACAAGAAGACTCATAATTCAGTCATTTATGTGAGTTTGGGAAGCGTAGCACATATGAACCAAGACCAATTATCTGAAATGGCTTGGGGTCTGGCAAATAGCAAGGAGCCTTTCTTGTGGGTTATTAGGTCTGGCTCCAGTCCAGGTGCGGAATGGATCGAGGCGATGGATGAAAAATTCAGAGAATGTGTTAAGGACAGGGCTTGCATTGTGAAATGGGCACCTCAGAAGAAAGTACTGGCTCATGACGCGGTGGGAGGGTTTTGGAGTCACTGTGGATGGAACTCCACCTTGGAGAGTATATGTGAAGGCGTTCCGATGATATGTCAACCATGTTTTGGCGACCAAAAGGTGAATGCGAGGTACTTGACTCACGAATGGAGGGTTGGATTAGAACTGGAAGGCGAGATAGAGAGAGGGACAGTAGAAAGGGCTATTAGAACATTGATGAAGGAAAAGGAAGGCGAAGAGATGAGGCAGAGGGTCTTGGACTTGAAGCATAAGTTTGATGTTAGTATGGGTGATGGTGGATCTTCTTGCAATTATCTGAGTGAGCTAGTCGAGTTGTTGAGATCGTTCTAGCAGCACAGAGTTGTTTGCTACTAAAGCACCACACGGAATGAAGTTTGCGTCGTGCAGAAAGTTCAAAGATTTGTTCTTCTGGCATTGAAGAACAGAACAGAATAGATAACATGCTTTTAATCAGTGAGAGAAATGTGTTGGCTTGTCATGTACGAGTTTGAGTTGAAGCAATCTTTTTGGTTTTTCTCTGGCGAGTGCATCTGATCTGAATGGATTGTATTCACTTCTCCTTTCATGTACAAACATATTAAATGAACATGACATGATTGTACATTATGTCATAATTTTGAAATCTAAGCATGACACGCTTATCATATGATAGGACCCATTTGATACGTTTAAGGTATGAACCATTAGAACAAGCTTGTTAAATATGTTTAGACACGCATAAGTATGTTCAAATGTGTCTAAATATATTTACAAGTGTGTTGTGTCCATCCAACTAGCTTGTCAACTGTATCATCAAATTTGTTTAAGCATGTCATAGAAAGAATCAATATAGATATGATACATTTAGCTTTCGTGTACAAATGGGTGGTTTCTTTTATGACATAATCTGTGTAAGCGTGACATGAGCACGCTCAACCACGTGTCGAGTAAAGGGGTTGTGTTGATATTTGCATCAAGATTGATCAACTTGGCCTACTATCATGTCCGATGAATGTTCTTCCCGCCCAGCAAAAATAGAAATTAACAGAAAGGTGAATACGAATATCATATACTGACAATCTTAATCTCTTGTCCATTGAAACCTCTCTTTTCTAGGTCCGGCACAGGTTGACATCTGTTGCACTTAAATTCAGCGGTAAAATATTGAGAGGGCAAAGTGCCTGCGAGGGACCATAGATTCACTCCTCTTTATCATTATGAAAAGAATGGTTTAAGAAGGAGGACTGACCAATGATTTTCTCATTTTGGCAAGCCAATGCTGGTAACCGGATTCTTACTTTCCCAATTTTACTTTATGTAACTTTTCGTTGGGGTAGTTCTATCGTCCATCGGCCACCAGTTGACGGTTCCTAGGGTCAGATTTACTCTTTTTTTGATTTGATGATTGTCGACCTTTGCAAATCTATTCCTGAGGATCCTTAGAAGCACTCTTTTTTATAGTCTCTTGAGGGACCGATCTCATATCGCATCTCGTTGTGTTCAAGTTAATTTTTGCTATAAATTTTATACAAAGTGTCATACTCTATAGTCGACAATTCATAAAATATTCCTAAGTGTTTTTTTTTTCGTGTGATATAAGTCTATAGAAAAGTTACAATAGAAAAAAAGCTTGGGTCGAATGAGGTACAAAGGGAAATCGATCTCGAGAGACTATCCTTACTTATAAGAGGGATAATTGCAAAAAGTATCATGAGATTTGCACTAAACATTAAATACCATCTTTACTTTTGAAACCTATAACTTAGAATTTTTCATTTTCATATCAATTTATATCCTCACAACCCTACTTATACAGAAACTGCTATATCCTTTCCCAAATTGGCCTTCCCAAAAAGAAATAACATCACAAACCCTAACTTGTGTTTCTCTCTCCTACCCATCACTAGCCGGCCGTCACCTTCCAAAGAACGGCTGAACATGCCCCATTCGATCGCCATAGTTGTTGACATCATCATGGGTTCTAGATAACTTTGTTGTTAACAGAAAATATTAATGTGATTTTTTAAAATTATTTTTCGCTCTTTTTGTGGTGATGACGTGGCTAAAATATAAAACATAAGGTTATTACGATGTCATTTTGGTCTAAATCTAATTTTTAAATACATATTTTATTTAAATAATCTTAAAAATAAGAAAACTTAAAAAAATACAAAAAATAAAATAAAACAAAAGGAAAACTTTGATTATCAAAAAAAAAAACAAAAGGAAAACTTAGGCGAGAGGGCTTCCGGCCCTTGTCATTGTCGCCGGCAAGCCCTTGTTTGCGTTTTCTTTCTTTTTTTTTTCTTCTTTTTTTAGGGTTTGCTTATTTTTTAATTTAACTTAAATAAATTTATATTAAAAAATCAGATTTGGACTAAAAAGACTTTATTTTAGCCACGTCAGCGCAACATATGATAGAGAAAAAAAAAGTCACATCAATATTTGTCGTTAGGCAAATTAGACGGAATTAACAAAAATACTTCATCGCATCAATTTAATAAATTTTAGCACCCATTTATACTTTTTGAAAATTTTAGAACTCAATTGAACTGTCATTATAAGTTTTAAAATTTGTAGTGTACTGTTCCCAAATACCAAGAAGTGGAAAAAAGGGCAAAAGTAGTTTGAAAGTATTATTCCACGAGCAGGGCCCAGCCTCGAGGAAGAGCTGGAGGCCCCCCTAACCAGGACGTTCCCCTAGGCTCAAACCTCATTCCAGAAATCTCATGTCTCTCGACCTCTGGGACCCCTTCCCTCAGACTTTCTGGGAAAATTCATCCTTCGTCAACACCAGGATCGACTGGAGGGAAACCCCGGAAGCCCATGTGTTTAAGGCCGATCTTCCCGGGCTCAAGAAGGAGGAAGTGAAAGTCGAGATCGAGGACGACCGGGTGCTCCAGATGAGTGGAGAGAGGAAGGTGGAGAAGGAGGACAAGAGCGACAACTGGCACCGAGTGGAGCGAAGCAGCGGGAAGTTCATGAGGAGGTTCAGGTTGCCCGAGAATGCGAAGATGGATCAGGTCAGGGCTTCGATGGAGAACGGAGTGCTCACCGTCACTGTTCCCAAGGTGATGGAGAGGACGCCTGAGGTCAAGGCCATTGAGATCTCTGGTTGAGTCTGTGATGGTGAAACTTCATAGTGAAATCGTGGCTTTGTGGGTGCAGCGTCTGTGCGTTTCGTCTCTCTTTTGTGTTTCGAGAGTCGTGTAAATGTGGGCAGTTGTCTCTGATACACACCGTTGATGTAGCCAGCAGCTTGTGTAGTGTACTATACACATATTCATGAGCACAAGTCTGCGAAGAGGGTTGACTTGATGGTCCCTGTTATTGCTCATTAAAATAAATTATTCGAATCAAGAAAATATCAACCAGAATAGCTGCCAGGAAGCAGAAGCCACAGAGACAGCAAGTGCTTTTTTAAATATATCATTAGATGCCCTGTCTAAAATGACCACGCTTATTTAAAAAAGTGCAATTATACCTAGGTTGACCGCTTGGTGTGTTCTGGTCTTTGCATTCTCCGTTCCATGACCTCTATTCTGTGTAAATCTTCAAAGAGAGTAAAACCAGCCTGGATCAGCAAAAGCCCCCGTTTTTAAGAGCATAACTTAGTATTACTGAATATCTTCGATTGGAAAAAGATAGTGAAGATGGAAAATCAAGGGCGAAATCCCCCCAAGAGATTGGTTCTGATCCCAGGACCATTCCAGGGCCATCTCACTCCCATGCTTCAGCTGGCGACCATCCTCAAGTCCAAGGATTTCTCCATCACAATTGCTCATACACAGTTCAATAGTCCAGATTTTTCTGCTCACCCCGATTTGACCTTCCTATGCATCCCGGACGGCTTATCCGAACAAGAGGTTCAAAGCCCTGATGTGGTAGCCATTGTGCTGAGGCTTAATGACAACTGTGAGTCCAGCTTTAGGGAGTGCCTAACTCGGGGCACAAACCACATGGAGCCAGGTGACAAGATCTGCTGCATCATCTACGATCCACTTGTGTACTTCTCTGGAGCCGTTGCCTGTGATTTGAAGATTCCTAGCATTGCTTTATACACAAACAGTGCTGCTTATATCGCAGTTCGCCCAATTCTTCTCCAGTTAAAGGCACAAGGACACATCCTTGTCCCAGGTACATGCTCGTTTTCTTTTATTGAGTTACAGTTATTTCCTTCCTAATTAATATCATGGTCGAGGGGAAATCTTGCTCTTAATTTATTTTTTGTTGGGAAGATGGATGTATTGACGAAAAACAGTTGCTGTTTTAAATTCTGTCATGTTTGATCTTCAGCATGACCCTCTGAAAAAAAAAGAAAAAAAGATCTTCAGCATGACCCTGTAGTTTTACGATCCGATGAGTCTCTTATAACCTATACATTATTCAAGACTGGTTTCTGTGTCAGTTTGACACCCAAGCCAGATTTAATCCTGAGTGTCATATTGCTAAGTATATAAAGCCGATGGGTGCTAGATCACTTGTAGTTGTGCTGACTAACAACTGGCTTGTGTTGTGTTCTATTAGACACAATGCTGCAGGTTCCGGTGCCCCTGCATCAGCCGCTCAGGTTCAAAGACCTACCAATCTACAGTTATGGAAGTTTAGACTCTTTCTTGGAGGGGTTAGCCTTGACGCTTAATATCAGACCATCTTCTGCCATTATATTCAACACGATTCACTGCCTGGAAGAGTCACCTCTCGCCCGGGTCCACCACCAGTACCACGTTCCGATTTTTCCAATAGGCCCTCTACACAAATTCGCTCCTACCTCAGCTGTTAGCTTACTGCAAGAGGATACTGGTTGCATTCCATGGCTTGACAAGCAAACTCATAATTCAGTCATTTATGTGAGTTTGGGAAGCGTAGCACATATGAACCAAGACCAATTGTCTGAAATGGCTTGGGGTCTGGCAAATAGCAAGGAGCCTTTCTTGTGGGTTATTAGGTCTGGCTCAAATCCAGGTGCGGAATGGATCGAGGCAATGGATGAAAATTTCAAAGAATGTGTAAAGGACAGGGGATGCATTGTGAAATGGGCACCTCAGAAGGAAGTACTGGCTCATGACGCGGTGGGAGGGTTTTGGAGTCACTGTGGATGGAACTCCACCTTGGAGAGTATATGTGAAGGCGTTCCGATGATATGTCAACCATGTTTTGGCGACCAAAAGGTGAATGCGAGGTACTTGACTCATGAATGGAGGGTTGGATTAGAACTGGAGGGTGAGATAGAGAGAGGGACAGTAGAAAGGGCTGTTAGAACATTGATGAAGGAAAAGGAAGGCGAAGAGATGAGGCAGAGGGTCTTTGATTTGAAGCACAAATTTGATGTTAGTACGGGTGATGGTGGATCTTCTTGCCATTATCTGAGCGAGCTAGTCGAGTTGTTGAGATCGTTCTAGCAGCACATAGTTGTGTGCTACTAAAGCACCACACAGAATGAAGTTTGCGTCGTGCAGAAAGTGCAAAGATTCGGTCTTCTAGCATTGAAGAACACCCCGACCAAAAAAAAAAAGGTATCGAAGAACAGAACTGAACAGATAATACTCTTTTATGCGATGATAGAAATGTGTTGGCTTATCATATGCAAGTTTGAGTTGAAGCATTCCTTTCAAGTTTTCTTTCTAACCAGTGCATCTGATTCGAATGGATTGTATTCACTCCTCCTTTCATGTATAAACATTTTAAATGAACATGACACGGTTATCCATTATGTCATAATTTTGAAATCTAAGCATGACACGCTTATCATATGATAAGACCCATTTGATACGTTTAAGGTATGAATTATTGGAACAAGCTTGTCAAATATGTTTGGACACGTATAAGTATGTTCAAATGTGTCTAAATATATCTAAAAGTGTGTTGTGTTCTTCCAACTAGCTTGTCAACTGTACCATCAAACTTGTTTAAGCATGTCATAGAAAGAATCAATCTAAATATGATATATTTAGCTTTCGTGTACAAATGAGTTGTTTCTTTTATGACACAAACCTGTGTAAGCGTGACATGTGCACGCTCAACCATGTGTCGAGTCAATGGGTTGTGTCGATATTTGCATCGAGATTGATCAACATGCCCTACTATCGTGTCTGATGACTGTTCTTCCTGCCCAGCAAAAATAGAAATTAAAAGAAAAGGGGGAATACGAATATCGTATACTAACAAGCTTAATCTCTTGTCCATTGAAACCTCTCGTCCATGGAAACCTCTCTTTTCTAGGTCCGGCGCAGGCTGACATTGTTGCACTTTAATTCAACGGTAAAATATTGAGAGGGCATAATGCCTGCGAGGGACCATAGATTCACTCTTCTCTTTATCATTATGAAAAGAAAGGTTTATGAAGGAGGACTGACCAATGATTTTCTCATTTTGGCAAGCCAATGCTGGTAACCGGATTCTTACTTTCCCAATTTTACTTTGTATAACTTTTCTATGGGGCAGTTCTATGGTCTAGCGGCCACTGGTTGACGGATCGTAGGGTCATAACAAGTCGTAACTGGTTGAATTTTTTTGTAACTCCTATACAAAATGTCATAACACACTAAAACTTGAAGGCAATCACGAAAAATAGGCAAGATTTTCTCTTTTTTTTTTTTGTTTCGATGATCATTGGCCATTGCAGATCTACTTATGAGGATCCCTAGAAACACTTTTGTTTAGTCTCTTGAGGAACTGATCTCTTATCGCATCTCGTTGTGTTCAAGTTAATTTTTGTTATAAATTTTATACAAAGTGCCATACTCAATAGACGACAATTCATAAAATATTTCTAGTGTTTGTGTGGTGCAGTTTATAGAAAAGTTACACTAGAAAAAAAGGCTTGGTTCAAATGAGGCACAAAGGGAAATTGGTCTCGAGAGACTATTGATGCTTATAATTATAAGAGGGACAATTGCAAAAAGTATCATGAGATTTGCACTAAACATTAAATACCATCTTTACTTTAAAACCTATAACTTAGAGTTTTTCATTTTATAACAACTTATATACTCACAACCCTACTTATTACAGAAATTGCTATTTCCTTTCCCAAACTAGCCATCCCAAAAAGGAAAAAAAAAATCACAAACCCTAACCTGCATTTCTCTCTCCTCCACCATCTCTCTCCTATCCGTCACCGGCCAGCCATCGCTTTCCAAAGAACGGCCGAAGATGCCTTGTTTGATCACCATAGTTGTTGATGTCATCATAGGTTCTAAATAACTCCGTTGTTAACGAAAAATATTAACGCGTCTTTTTATTATTATTTTTTCTCTTCTATGTGGCGATAACGTGGCTAAAACATGAAACATAAAGTTAAAACGATATGATTTTGGTCTAAATCTAATTTTTAAATACATATTTTATTCAAATAATCTTAAAAATAAGCAAACTTAAAAAAACACAAAAAGGAAAAAAAAAAACAAAAGGAAAACCTAGGGGAGAGGGCTTGTAGCCCTTGCCGCTCCCACGGCAAGCCCTTGTTTGCGTTTTCCTTTTTTATAGTTTGCTTATTTTTTAATTTAACTTAAATAAAATTTATATTAAAAAATCATATTTGGACCAAAACGATATTCGTTTTAACCACGTCAGTACAACTAGGGGTAAGCGGTTCTAGGTTCTTTACAAGTTCCATATAGAACTTGAAACCTATTCTCGGGGTACAAGTTTCCCATTTTTTGGAACCTAGAACCTACCCGTCAGAACTTAGAACCTGTAACCTACCTTGTCACAGGTTTCGGGGTAGGTTCCAGGATCTAATAGGTTCTTTTTTTTTGTTGTATTTTTAGTTAAATAAAACAAAAAATGAACGCAACAATACTGAACAAGCTTGTCATTCATCAAAGGGAATACAAAAGACTAGTTTTTCTGGCATTACAATTCAAATAAATATAACTAAAATGAGAAGTCATTGTGTGAATCGATACTAGGGGTGAGCAGTTCCATGTTCCGTATAGGTTTTACCCATGATAATAAGTTCCTCATTTTTTGGAACTTAGAACCTACCCTATCACAGGTTCGAGGGTCAGTTCCAGAGTCTATTCAGGTTCCACCTGTATTATTAATTGAACAATTACAGTGAATTATTACCTTAAATAACCACCACTTACTGCTATAATCCACTAACCATAATTTATATTTAGACACATGAAAAATATGAATCATTAACAAGTCATAAAATGAAAGCTCAGACTAGTAGTTTCAGATCATACACTCATCATCTAATGACATAAAACACAGTAGGATCACGAGAAGACAGGCTCAGGTTCCAGGTT